AGCAGGAAAACTCCTGTTTCGCTCTCTTCATGAAATCCCCAGCACAGAACTGACTTTGACTCGTTGGCCACCACTACCCCAGCCCCTGGGAGCCTGGAGGAGGAGCCCCAAGGAAGCAGGACAAGGGGCTGCCCCTTGAAGACACGACTCAGGGGCATTTCACATGCAGCAACGTGACACTGAACACAGCCAATGTATGAGGCTGCTTTGGGCAGAACGACATTCATTGTTTTGTTCCAGTCCCACGGTTTGTTGTGTATAGCTTATGTGTTTGAGGCTGTATCACTCCCTTAAACCCCTAAGTCTAGATATGGCACTTTATAGGTATCTCCAAGTCATTGGTTAGGCCCCAGAACAGCTTTTGAGGAGCTGTTGGTAACAGAGCATGAATTTCAGGCTGGGTTTCCTGTTTGTTTGTTGATGGAAAGATCATTATCAGCCAGTGAACATAACCATTTGGTTGCCAAGAAGCTGTTCAAAATCAAAATGGACATAATAGATATAAGTTAACCCCTCCATGCATTCAGCTTTTGAGTGATGATGCCTCCTCCTAAACCTGTTGGTAGAGGTGTAGGACAGAGCCAGGAGGAATGAGCACTGGAGTAGAGAAAGGTTTCAAAAGTCTAAGGTAAAAAAAAAAAAAAACAACAAATGACAAAAGTTTCATGGCATAAAGTCAGGGCTGGGTGTAAAGAAGCACAGTAACTGATTAAAGTCATCTAATCTGCTCCAGGATCTCCTGCTGATTATATCAAACCTCAAATCAGCAAGGCTTTTGGGGGGAGGAAACCTGGCCTCAACTTTTTTGTCCCACTTTACACAGACATCAGAAGATTTCTTTACTGTTGTGCTCCACTTCTGTGTCACAGACAATAAAGGCTTTGTGAAAGGAAAAAAAGATCACATTTGCCATATCCAGAATCAACACACATTTAAACTGACACTAACAACTACTTTTTATGGATTAACACTAAATCCTAGGAAGATATTTATGTCAAATTGTGGAAGCCTCACACGCTACAAAACCGGCCATTTAAAATAAAAATAAAAATGAAGCAATTAATATAGTGTCACGGCTTGTGTTGGAGGTTGCATTTAGAAATCAGAATTCTTTAGAACAAAACCCATTCAAGTCTTGTTGGAAGTGCATCCATTTGTTTTTGTGCTGGTATTTTTTTTCCCGAGGTTTCAAACCGTAAAGTTTTGTACCCCACTCTCTGCTATAGGAATCTGTGAAACTTAATTACATTTACTGTTACAAAAAAGGGGTTTATGAACTTTTGCCTTTGGGCAAAAATGTTTATTTCATTGCCTTTGTTATTCATTCTTTTCAACTCGGGTGCCTTTGAACTTTTCAGCTGCACAGAGTTATCACCGTTGCACAGGAACCAGGAACTGTACTCCCGAGATGCAAACCACAAGTTCAAGAAAACGAAGGAGGCAAAGATATACGAGTCGTTATTTTGGCCACCCTTTGTGCCATTAAAATCTCATTTTCTGCCTATTAGAATGCCCTCTCCCCGCTCAGGCAATGGTGATAGTCAGTGATTAGTGTGTAATTGAGTATAATTGTCTTTTCACTTTTCATTTGTGTCATTCTGAGCTTCTCTCTGTTTTTCTAACCACTGAGAGGAAAAAAGGGTAGAAAGCAGATAAAGCTGTTAAAACTCTCACTTTCAGCCCTGAAGAGATTCCTGATTGTAATTATAGATTGCATCCTCTTTGTGACTTCTCAGAATTTAGTGGACCTCTCTTTCCAAGCACCTGGGCAAAGCTCCTGCTAATAAACTAAACTACCACCTCTTCAAGCTTTAACTAATAATGGCAGCTTCAGACAGACCCCGTGTGTAGGAAAATCTAACCAACCTTTTGACACTCAATTATCAAGGCAATTTATTAACATGATTTCCTAAAAAGAGCTCATGCAAATTAGAAAAACAATTATGGTATTCATGCATCTCTACATTGCCAAAGAGCAGTAATACTCCTAATTTATGTATTTATAACTCGATTACAGCTCATCTCTATGCACACTCCTCAGCCCTTAGAACTCTCCTGGTGCTGCTCGCCAGTAATTTTCCTGGACCGTTCAGCAAGACCTTGGTGAGGTTATCTCAAAGAGATATTTTATTCACAGAAGTACATGATCTACTTTCTGTACCTAGCTGCAGATCTTCAGGAGAAGAGCAGGACATTAGAAACACTCGACAACTGAATGTAAACATGAAGCCTGCATGATTACATTATAAATCACTTGAAATTAGATATAAGCTATGACTCTTGATTCAGCCAGTAGAAGGGAAAAAAGTTTTTTAAAAAAAGAAGGAAACTAGCAAACTGAAATCATGTGGCCTGTATAAAGAATACATTATGGTTTAAATTTGGCAATTCATTATACCATGGCCTGAGGGAATAGACTCTTTGGTTCTGGTATACAGCAAATCCTCTGTCTGAAAACACAGGACTGACCTGAGGTGAGAGGCCATTGCCAATGGCAGGGTTCATGGGATTTGAGGGCCCGGACGGAGGCACAAAGCTGTCTGTATAGCTGGAAAATCCATGCCTGGTGCTGGGGAGGCAATAGGCAGAGCTGCTCTCTGGGTTCGAAGGGAGGCTGCTTTGGTGTACAGTGCTTGGAGGGAGAGGCTGAGGTCTGTGGACGGTACTGCTGGGATCAGACACGGCTAGAAGCAAAAGAAACATGTTGATATGTTTTCCTCCCATTTTTTCTGGTGTAATATGTTCATTATGTGAAGCTCGACTCAACAGAATTGCATCAGGACCTGCATTTAAATACTGGTTAAGTGGAAAGGTAAATCGTTAATACTGCTAGATATTGAACTGGTCAGCAAGATGATGCAAAAATTCCTCAACAGATGTAAAGAATCATAACAGACATGCAGTTTTCAGACCATCCTCAGTGGACACATTGTTCAGAATTGACACAGCAATATTTTATGTATATAAAATAAAGGGAAAGCTTTATTTGCTTAGAAGGCTGGTAACAGGCTTTCCCCTCCTGGTCACAGCACAGAAACTCTGCCGTGGTTTGTAGGGAACCTAGTAATGGATGGGAGAAGCCCTGGGCTTTGAAAAATTCCCTTAATTAGAACATCCACCAACAGCTAAGGTACAAATCTCAAGGAGGGAGCAAGAGGAGCACAGGAATTTGTTTTATAAAAATCTCACCTACGGTTTTTCCTTAACAATAAAATCTAGCACAGCCCAGATTTGAGGCTCCCCCTCCAAATCCAAAGCTCACAGAGTTTCTGATAACACTGAGACAAATTTGTGCCATACTGAGACCTGCTCCTATCTGAGGTGAAACGAGACTGTCTGAATAGCTGGGCTTTCCAGTGTTGGATAAATTCAGACTCCTTACTTAGCCAACATGCCTTTTTCTACATTAAAGAGGAAAACAGTTCTATAGTGGATCAACCCAGGAAGCCCCCCTCCCAGTAACATCGTTTTAACCAAGTACCTACTGGCTACTGTACCTTGTGGTATGGAGGTGGGTTGATAGGAGGGCTCTGAGAGCTGGTACGTTGGCAAGGTTGGCATGGCGCTGGGTGGAAATCCTCCTGGGATCAGGTGGTTGAAAGCCATCAGTTGGTTGGCTCCTGCCTGTTTCCTCCATCTAGCACGCCGGTTACTAAACCAGACCTACAAATGTTTTAATTACAGACATTTGATTTTTGTACATGTGAATGCATCAGAAGTAACTGTGTTGTATTTAAATGAGCTCAGAGTTCAAGAGGAGAGATACAGAAGATGCACACTGGGCTCGGGGGTGCCAGACAAGAAAGCAGTCCTTGGTACACTCCTCCATGGTTCACCAGACAGGACACTGGAATCCCAAATCTCCAATACAGCCTCTCCTGAGAAACAATAGGACTAGTGCTTTCAAGCTTTAATTGCCTTTCATAGTATCAATCCCTATCCTTATTGCACCAGATTTAATGAGGGAAAACATCTCTCCATTTGATCTAAGTGCCAGCCACAGCTATTTGGTCTGGATTGTATTGTCTCGATATTTAATTTGCTGACAAGTTAGTGGCATCGCTTAATGCACTGTTGGAAGGTGCTCTACTTATATATTGGGATATTATATTGCCCTAATGATCTACAGAACTTTAAGCTTTTAATTTGAAAAATACAAGCCCTGTGTACAAAACCCACAAATCCCTCCCAGCAAGTTTTCATGTATTCACATATGTCTAAAACCTCTCTTAATAAACTTGATGTTACCAGTAGAGCAGGATTTCAGTACTAGATTAGCATTTCAGAACCACTTTGAAATCTGTTCCCAGGACAGGGTACCAAGCAGATGGGGTTTGGATTAGTGGGACGTTTCAGCTATAAATCTTCTTTCCTTCACGTCATTCTCAGTTTGTGTTTTCAGTTTTCCAGCTCTTGGATGACGTGAAGGAAAGAAGATGTCCACTTTCTCAGATAAGGGAGCCTACAAATATTCATAAACAAGCAGATAATTACTCATAACTGTACAATGCAGTGATTATCCATGGATAATATACCCATGGATATTATATGGATAATATAACATCCATATAACAATATGGATGTTATCAATTAGTTAAGATCTTAACAGCATCTTACAAGGCCTGGCCTGAAAGCCACTGAGGCGTGTTCACTGATGAGCCACTCTGTGAAAATACATCAGGTCTCAGACCTGTTACCCTTCCTGCACACAGCCCATGCTGGCTTATAATCGACCATCACAGACTGGATTTCTAGGTGTAACATCACTTACAAACCGTGGGCAGCCCCTACATAAGAGTGTAACCACATTTTGGACTGCACTGTGGGCTCCTCCTCCGCTTGTTATTCCATAGCAGGAGTGGCAGGACACACAGGGCCATCTGGTTTCTGATGTGGGCCATCTGTCACCATGTAGTTTGATCTGGCTTCATCCTCTTTTCAGAATGAGATGTTCAGTTCACACAGCTGCCTCCTCCTCTGGCCTCCAATGCCTACTCCTCAATTACACACTCCCACTCTGGTTTAAAATTCAGGACAGAGGGGTAGATAGAGCCTCTGTTCAACGTCAGGAATCCCTCTCTTGGTTTTTTCCTGTACATACTAACCCTCCCTCTGCCTCCATACCATCCATTTCAGAAAGCAGCTGGCAGGGACAAGGCACCAGGGTGGAGATGTGAGGCCTGTAATGAGTAATAGTTGAGAATGGGTCTAGATTCAGCAATAATTTTTTACTTTCTCATCTGAGAGATATCTATATCCTTTTTCACCTCTCTCCTTATCTTTTACTTCCTTCACTGATATTTAGTCTAAATTTCTTATTTACTCCTTATAGTTCCTGCATCTGTCTCGCAAAGCCCAGTCTTGCACTCAGTATCTTTTGAAGATAACCAAAGAGAAGGGAAAAGGGGCAAGACATGCTGAAGAGGGAGGAAGAGGCTTTGCTAAAGAGCCAAAGAGCACTTAGGAAGAATAATGGAGGTCAGAGAGGGAGCAGGGAACAGCATACCCATGTTGTAATTAGCTAGCCGGATCATTAACTGTGGCTTTCTCCAAGACACTCTCCCTTCTTCAGGTCAAGAGGGTTATCTGATGATCTTCAAATGCTTGTGGAACACTAATTGAGCTACACTATGTGAGTGGATTCCACTGAGGAAAATGAGGTAACAAGATTATTTCCTCTACAGATAAGCATTTGCCTTCAAGCCTTAGATCCCAAACTTTTATTCAGTAGCACCTAATTTGCATTAGTGCCAAGATTTATGCTTTTACTTACAGATAGATTTTGGCTCACATTACAGATCTGCAGCTGCAGATGTGTACTAAACATCCCTGAGAAGGACACAATGATATCAAAAAATCTTCCAGCAGTCCAGCCATGAACATGCTTGTGCAGAGTTCTGTTGCCACCCGAAGCCCCACTGCAGGGGGGTTGGACTAGATGACCTTTGAAAGCCCATTCCAACTCAACCCAGTCTATGGTAAGCAAGCTACTGCATTTTGGAGACTCATACTACAGCATTCTTACACAGAGAGTGCTGTCTGAAGGAATATGATCTACTTGTGTTGGTGTAGCATGCAGGAACTCCAAATCAGGTCAGCATTGTGCTTGGTGCTGTGCAAATGCAGGCCTGGATAGAGGAAACACGGCTTGTCTGAGGGACCCAAGCACCCAAAAGTGATGTCTCACCAGAAGCCAAGTCACAACTCATTATAAGGGGGCTCTGGCCCCCCCATTTCTGTGTCGCTTTCTAAGATGGAATGTAAAACACCCAGATGATTTGAAAACAAAATTGAACCCCAGTGTCTGGCCAAAACTTACATCTCAAAAACAGAACTGAAGAGGATGAAATTTAGAGCAAAGGGGAAAAATTAAGAAATAGTCCTTTAAGGGAATTAAGTATTGGAGGCTCCAGTTTTTCAAGCATCTGGAACTGGACTAACCAAAAAAAAAAAAAAATCATTCCACAACATCATATTTAAAAAAAGGTATTTTGCACCGAGGGAGAATGAGATGAGGTGAACTAGTAGGTTTCTCCCATCTCTATTTGCTAATATTAGACCCTGCCTTTTATTATCATTTTTCCTCTAAGTAATTCACAAGTGATCATGCCAACATCTTATTTCGTTGATCTCAACAGGATATTCTTTAAAAGACGCATTTATTCACTTGGGAACACGAGAGTGTAATTAGCCTTGACATTTCCACAGTCTGATCGTAAACACAGAGTGCAATATGTGCTTTTAAGGCAAAAAGATCTCCCATCCAACAGGGCAGAACATTCGAGATGTGAATTTTGCAGAAAACCCGTGGCTATTTTGTTATACACAGCCCTGACCGTTGCAAGCATGAGTGCCAAAAACGCACAAAGTCAAAAGACTGATGTATTGTTAAAGGCACTTCTAATTTTACACAGAAGGTGGGGGGGTCCCCCTTTTGCCTTATAATATTTTTTCATTATAACTTCCTCCCCCACCCCTTTGTACTCTCCGCCTCTCCCCCCAAAATTCACATTCAAAATAAAGTCTGCCCGCCCTGCAGGCAGTCCTTGGTGGCTTATGCCATGAGGGATCAAATTTGGGCTGTGCCAGAAGCTGTGGGGCTGCCTCTGCGAAGCAGGGAGGCTGAAGGAGGGAAGTGCTGCCAGAGCTGGGCTGCAGCAGCCCAGGCAGAGGGGTAACCCCATTCCCCATTCCACGTCAGGCTCCCCAGCACCCGACCCGCCGGCCCTGTCAGTACCAGCTCCACGTCTGCTCCTGCAGCCTTCAGAGAAGGCTGTGCGGGCTCCTTCCCCCTCCACCAGGCCAAAGGCTGACACCAGGTCTTGTGCCTCTCTGATCCAACTGGGAGTTCATTCAGAGAACATAAAACAGCAGGGGGGAAAGGAAAAAAGAAGGGCTTCTTCCTTTTTTTTTGCAGTAGGGTGAATTCCCATCCTAGAAATAGGAATTGTCCAGGATGAGCACTGCCAGAGACCAGTTGTGGAAAGAATAGAAACAACTTTTTGGCAGCAACTATTTGGTAACACAGCTTCACAGCAACCTCACAGGATCATTTTTGGTCATGGAAGAGACCTTCAACCCAACCATTAACCCAGCACTACCAGGTGAACCACAAAACCCTCAGCACAACACCTCCACAGCTTTGAAACCCCTGCAGGTATGGGGACTCCACCACTGCCCTGGGCAGCCTGGGCCAGGCCTGGACAACACTTCTTGGGAAGAAATCTTTCCTAATATCCAACCCAAACCTCCCCTGGCACAACTTGAGCCTGTTTGCTCTTGTCCCACCTTTTATTCCTTGGCAGAAGACACTGACTCCCATCTGGCTCCAACCTTCTGTCAAGGAGCTGTGGAGAACTAGGTGGTCTCCCATGAGCCTCCTTTGCTCCAGGCTCCACACCCCCAGGTCCCTCAGCTACTCCTCACCATACTTGGGCTCTAGACCGTTCCCCAGCTTCATTGCCCTTCTCTGGCCGCACTCCTGCCCCTCAAGGTCCTCCTTTGAGTGAAGGACCCCAAACTGAACCCAGGATTCAAGAGGTGACCTCCCCAGTGTCAAGACCAGGGGGACGATCTCTGCCTTAGTCCTGCTGGCCAGACAAGTGCTGATCCAAGCCAGGATGCTGTTGGTGTCCTTGGCCACCTGGGCACTCCCAGCTTCGCAGGAATAAGGCCTATTATCATGGCACACCATGAGCAGGCCTGTTCCCTCACAGCTTCCCAAAACCATTCTCATCTGCTGCAGAGAACAGCCTGCCATGAGCACCAGTGGGAACACCACAAGGCTGCAGATCTGCCAGGAGCTGTTGGTTATGGTGATGAGGAGTCATCCTGGTTGGGGTAGGAGTTACCTATGTGATACAGAAGCCAGAGTTCTTTCAAAACCAACAGTGGGGAGAAGACCAGACCAAAAATCCATTAGGCCATGCCAAAAGGAAGGATGACTTCCAGCTACCTCCCCAGTACAATCCATCACTCTCATAGGTTTCTTTAAGAAAACTTTGACTCAGTCCTGCACAAGTACTTCTAAAAAACTGCAGCTGAATAGTTCTGAAAAAATACTGAATAATAAGCAAATTGAACTGTGTATTTATAAATTAAAGCGCCACTAATTTGAGCCCTTAGGCAGCAGGGACCAGAAAAAAAGAATCAAAATCACATCCTTTCTTTTCCTTTATATTTAAAAATGTCATCTTGGGCCTGCATATGTTTGTAGTTGGCTAATTTACCCATAAGAATTTCTCCTTTACCCCAAGGGAAAAAAAGAAGTCTGCAATTACAGGGTTATCTACTACAAAAATGCACACAATTTTCTTTCTTTATCCTATATATGACGCAAGAGGGACAGCCTCAAGAAAAGGCACTAGAAATTCTCCCCAGACCACATCAGGAATAACTGTAAAGATCTGCTGAAGGGCCTTAAGTGTTTCTGAATCCATCCTCACTCCTTTACCCCATCTGCCTGCAGGACTGTGCAGTTCAGTACACAGGCCCAAACCATTTCAGAGGAGCTGAGAGCAAATTAAGTTGTTTTTTTTTTTCTACAGTTCATCCCTTCTCCATGATTTCTCAGTGAATGCTTATCACTGGTTGTTACTGAGAAGAGATTATTAAAACTGAGAGATTGGACGTCAGAGCTTTCAAACCTTACTACTAGCTTAAGAGTCATCATTTCTTCTCTTTCCTTTCCCTGCACTATCTTCTTCTCCAAACCACCTTTTCTCCTCTGTGTACCACACAGAATCAAAGAAAACAATATGCAAGCACAGCACTTAAAACAAAACATTTTTATAATTTTTATTCCGGCTCCTCAAAACTCCTGAGTTCTTGGGACTTCTTTTATTTGCTGAGGTTCTAATAAGCATTTTACAAAAGCTTACAAGCTTATTACAAGTTTGACATGGGAACATTCATTCAACCCCATCCCAGTAGCCTGGAGTGATCTGCCTGATTTTTCATACATGGTCTTTTGCTAAACAGTATTTTTCTTTTTGGAGGCCTTCAAGCAAACCAATTTAAACCTGGGATTTGGCTAAGAACCTTTGCAGGACAGGACGTACTCATGCTTCAGAAGTCTTCCTGGCTTCCCCTGCTTTTCCACCATTATTCATGGACTAAAAGAGTCCAAATAAACTTCTTCTGTTGCTTTTCGGGGTTAAACAGAAAGGCCATGTGCCAGCTGCTTTTGGCAGCAGGATCTCGTGCCCTGCACAATCCCATAGAGCTGGGGGGCATACCCTCACCCTGGTCCAACACACAAGCTTCCTGCCTTACATTTCTGATCATTTGGGAGGCCTGCTTTCAACTCACAGCCCAAAAAGATCTGTCTGACTGGCTGGCCCCCATCAGCCAAGGCAGGCTCCTGGCCCTCTGCCTGCCATGGTACAAACCTGAACCTTATTTAAAAACCCTTTGCCAAAAGATTGAAGTAAACACCTCCCACCATCAATGTGAAACAGGCTCCAAGCTGTTGCCAGAGTTTGCCCAGCTCATGCAGGTCTAAAAATAAGTTTGACGTGGGAATCAAAAGGTGGCCAGAAAAGATGCTACCCACATCATTCCGTACGTGCTATTTGTTACAGAAACCAAAACCACGCTGCTCTGATGCTCAGAAAGAACCTTTGATCTTTATCTACACAGGGGAAAATTTCACTTCTAGAATTTGCCTTGAGACTGACTCAGTAAAAATAGGCCGCAGACCTTAAGGGCCTGCACGGCAACTTAATAGTGGTTTAATGAGGTTTTAAACTCAACCAGTAAAACCCTGTACGACTGTGAATTTTACTCATGATATGTATGCATCTTTGACCTCATATTCCCAGGGTGTTACTACTATTTTTTTTAATCCAAGGTCATCTTTTGGGACCCCACTTATATTTCTGAGTTGGATCTGATGAATGTACACGACTGAAGAACTTTCCCCTTCTTGCTGCATCTCACATGCAGAGGAGAAATGGTTCTCCTGGTTCCACACCACACCTGGGCTCAAACACAGGGGAGAAAGATTCAGCAGTCCTTGAGTGGAAAGGAACTGCAGGGCACATTTTGGTTCCTCACTACACTCAGCACTGAAGTATTTGCAATGATTATAGCTACATATCTCATGACTCTCACATCGTGGAGTTTGTTGCAATGCTTTTTTCCTCAAAAGCCTTTCCTGTCCCTACGATTAAGTACACAACATTCACAGTGTAAAGTCTATTTTGAGCTGTTTATAGCTTTCCAAAAAATTCCCCTTAGGGGCCAAAATGTTCTATGTCTGATCTCAGCCTAAAGGCAACCTTTTTTTCCCCATCTCCAAACAGCCCACTTAGAAACATGCGTTTGGTTACCCTTCAACAGTGGGAAAGTGAGAAATTAGATGGTTCAGTGGTTTAAGACTCTTCCTTTCCCAGGTGTTCAGAGACTGCTTTGGGGAACAGAAGAAAAGGGGGACCACAGAAGAAGCATGGTAGAAAAAATAACTCATGAGATGCAAGCATGGAGGAACTGAGGGAATAGCAAGGTTGGTCCAGTTGTAATCAATTCAATCACTTCCTATGCAATGTAAAACAACACTAGGAAATCAGACCTTACAGCTCCAAAGAAAAATAATTTTCTGGAGCCAGACAGACTTAGGCTGCAGAAAGCCAGATCCTTTAGATGGTGCTTGATCAGGAAGCAGTGAAGGATCCTTGTGAATATATCCATATAAAATTTGTTATCTCTGATCTCTGTCATGCTGTTACCAAAAGAGAAGTGTGACTAAGGAAGCCTGAATGCTCCATCAGTACTGCTATCCAGCCCTCTCAGCCCTGAGTCTCTCAGGGTTATTTTCTTTTCACAGGTCGTCTTTTATTTCATGCCCATCATAGGTGGCTATTTTAAGGGGCTATAAGGGAGGTGCTGAATGCTGATAAGGCAAATCCTGTATCCCTTAATCCACTGCTAAATCACTCTGCCAGCCTTCAAGGGTACCAGACAGATGGAGTACACTAGGAAACTGCCCACAGGCTGGTTACCTCAACCCCAGCTCATCTTTAATCCAGAAAGGTTTTGTTCTGGTATTTTAATCATTGATTGACTGGGAACTTTCTTCCATGCTGGGTTAGATAAAATATCCATGTCAGAGGTACTGGGGAATTCGTGAGACTGTAGATCATAGGAATAGCGTGAGACAGGATGTGTCTCAAGGGAACCAAGGAAGCCATAAGGAATGTAAGAAGTCACAGGGTTAAAGCCACATTAGGACAGCTGTTATGTTAATGAGAGTCCTGCTTTTCTTCTAGCTGTGGGTCATTGATTTAGAAAAACATGAACAAGGTCTTTTTCATTTTATTCGTTTTATCATTTTTTTCCACTGAAGCTATCATAGACCAAAACATCATATCCTAGAGCCCATACAGCTTGCTAACAGAACTTGCATAGGAATTTATCTTTATTATGTTTGTGCATGGATGATTCCCAGGGCTTGATTTGGTCTTACCTGGCCCAAGTCTATATACGAAGCTGTTTTGCAAACATTTCACTTAGTAAACATGCTAAGAGAAGTCATGCACCACTGAGTTTGCCTTCCAGACGTATTCATCATACATCTGATTTTCTCTCAGTCAAGCACTTACAAGAAATGTGGTGTGAAGTCTTCTGCAAAAACATTTAGCCAGTAAGACGGAAAGAGTCTGTGCCTTTCAAGGCAGGTACTCAATAATACAGCCCTGCTGCAATAGGCATGCTTGTCTTTCAAAGTCAGAGGGATATTTTGTATTGTGTATTTCAGTTTGTGGAGTCTGAATGCTTCAGGCCAAGTTTTAAAGGTCAAAACATAAAAACAGTTTCACCGAAGCAACCAAATTCACTTGTATCCTTGGTTAGATCACAAGTTACCACTCGCTTCTCTTCCTTGGTTAGATCACAAGCTACAACATTTTGCTTCTCACCCAACAGCACATTTGCTTACAAACACTCACAGTTGTGAAAGAGCAGCAGAGAACAGAATTCAAACGTGTGAGGTAGTGAAAGAGCAGCAGAGAACTCTTCCTGTTTAATAAAACAGGACATGCTGCTTTGCTGTGAAACAGTAAGTCCTAGTCTGAACCTGAACTCCAGGGTGCACTTTATTCCAGAATTAGTCGGCTGCTATTTGCCCAGTTATGGACATCTGAAAATCCAGGGAGTTTTTGTTTTGTTTTGTTTTTACTTTAAATCAACTCTGTGGTTTACTCCTCCAGCACGTTAGCTTGGTTTAGACAATCCAGATCTACATGAAGCTGTGAAGACCTAACAGTTATTTGAGGGTTTATTTTCTTTTGAATTAAAAGTGGGGATAAAAGCAATATTACAAGGTTTAAATCCAGTCAACCTCAAAAGCTAACCTCAGAGTAAACTCTAGATACTGCACCAGTAACAGTGCTCACTTGCATGGCTCTATAGACACATTGTTCTTTTTAAAATGTTTTTCTCTCCTGTTAATGCCTGAAAGAGCCGAACAACAACAGATGAAATCAGTTAAATATCTATAAACTGGCACAACAGCTGATCTGATTACATATAGAATGCTGTCGAAAGCATAAAACAAACTGGGATAACAGACCTTCCTCTCCAAGGGCTCAGTATTACAGTCATGGCAAGTATGGAACAATTTCTGGGGAAAAAGCAGTTTTCAAAGCAGTTGTCTTAAAGAGTCAGAAAACCAATGTCCATGTACAGATGCAAAGAGCCCAAAGGTTGTAAATAAGGGAGCATTACATTTTCCTTCTACCCTAGAGCAGGATCACAAAAGAGAATAAAAGGACCAAGATGCTAACAGAAAAGGAAATTCCCTTTGTTAGGCAGCTTCTAAAGACATACCTGGACACGAGCCTCTGTCAGTTTGGCTCTTTGTGCGAGTTCTTCCCTAGTATAAATATCAGGGTAGTGTGTCCTCTCAAAGGCCCTTTCCAGCTCTTCCAGCTGCTCTGCTGTGAAGGTCGTCCTGCTGCGCCGCTGCTTTCTTTTTAAAGGTAAATCTGGTTCAGAATCAATGTCAGAGCCTTCATCAGACTGGGGTGCTGATGCTCCAAAAAGAAAAGAGACAGACAGACAAAAATTAGCTTTCATTGAGGGGTGGAGGGAGGCAAATTATTGGATCAATCGATGATATCCTCTTACACAGAAAAGCTTTTTCCCCATGATTCAGAACTCAGTTGGCAAACTTCAGCAAAGCAAATAAGAGAGAAACAAATTGGAGTTAAATGTTACATTGTGCAAACGTGCTCAAAGAATTGGCCAAAGTTCAGCTATGCGTTTAGCACCTTTTCCTAGCCCAAGAATATTTAAGGGCCTCTAGAAATCTTCCCAAGTAGATGAATTCTTTGATTTCTTTGGTTTAACTCCTCCAGCATTTTGCAAGTGTTTTAAAAGCTTGAGCAGTCCTACTTAGACCCCAGCAATACAGCCTTGCTCCTACCCCTGAACCGGAGAACAGATACAAATACTCATCACACCAGTGTGCACCTTGTAACTTAAACATCCCGACCCTGTAGACACGTGTTCATGAGACCTTCCCTAGAGATCCACCACTAACACCTTATGGCTGAAATGGTGATGGAATGATTACAAAGGTCTGGGGAGCACTACTGAAGGAATTAGTTCTCATAGACAATCAAATATTTAGTTGATGCCGTGTGAATGTGTCCTACACTTTGAACAGTATTTCACACACATTTGTGTTAGTAAATCTCAGCACATTTAAACATTCTTGCTCATTTGCTTAACTTAGGAAGACCTAAAAAAAATTTGAGAAGCACATTGCATAGAGAACTGCTGTAAGAATAGCCCAGAGCAACAGCTTGCCTTGACTCTTCCCATTGCTAAAGCAAGGAGATTCCAGCCTATGTGATGACCAGAGCTGAAACTCACAGACCACGTGCTTCCTTCACCTAAGGTTTCATCATTATTCCTCCTAACCTCTGGAGGTTTTCCAGCACGGAGCACAACTGCCTGCAGATGGGCTGGTGCTCAGCCTCCAGGCAACAGTCCAGGATATGACTGCAAACCAGCCAAGCTGTGCTGGACCAAAGGCCCCTCACACCACGTCCCGAGTCAGTACTTAAGAAAAGCCAGGAAGAAACAGACCACGTACAACATATCCATGACCCAGGAAGGGACTACAAACTCCTCCATTTGGTTTAAAGAGAAATCAGAACCAAAACACTTTCTGGGCTTCATGGGCATGGAGAGAGTGAGATCACACGTGCAGAGCCAGTTCAGCTCCTTGGCATCGTTGCTTGTTTCCCCTGGCAATCCAGTGAACTCCAGACACATCCCAGCCATGGCTGAACCCATAGCTACACCTGTTGAGGCAGCAAAGGCTCTTCCAGTACCCAACCACATTCACTTTCTCCAACAAACATTGATCAACCAAAAGAGTAGACTTCCAAAGCCAGTCTTTGCGTCCATCAGCTGCTGTCCCAGGCAACAAGCATTCTTTCTTGCCTGAGTCTTCAAGGGAATCCACCTAAAGAGGGCAGACACTCCCCAGTGATGCTGGAACTGCTTGTTCAGTTTAAATACAAGCATTGCTTCTAATACTTCAATAATGCCAAATAAACTATTGATATAGGCATTGATTTAAATAATCTCCTTAATGTGAGTTATTTGAAAGTAACTGAGACAAAGTCAAAAAGAAACCACTGTTCCTCAAGCACCAGCTAACCCCCTACAATGTTCATTTCTAGCTATCTTATGTTTCCAATTTCACTCAAGCTGTTTGAACTAGTAAAATACACCTAATCTGTTTACTTAGACTTACAGCATGAGAAAGTGCTTTTTGAGACAATTCAGCTGAAGAGTTTATTAATTTCTGCATACCAAAAAAGAACAATTACTGCTAGACCAGAAGCTCTTAGTGAAAGCTATCTTCATTGTCCAGACACCAGCAATATCTTGACCCAGCATATAAGTCATCAAGAGAAACTCCCATAGTGCTCAGCATCAAGGTACTGTGAAAATAGCCAGCTCCCAGAGTCTCTGACTTGCATGGAAGTTTAGCCCCAAGACTGGCTTAAGCTGTTCTGGTTGCTGAGAATATTGTCATCAAGAACAAAGGGAAATTAGCACCAACACCCTATCCTAGACAGTTCGGGTTCATTCCTAATTAAACAGGCAATCTAGGGTAACCCAAAATAAACATAGCACACTGTCTGAATTAGTGGCAAATCCTAAATCTTCTCTGTTGGGGCTCCAGGAGACACCTGCCTGCCTTCCTCAGCAACTGCCAAGTTAGTTACAACCCTCCAGGATGGCTTCATGCTGCTGTTTAAGAATCAAAAGAACCACACGGTATTTAAAATAGATTTTCCTTATGTGAGCTTCAGATATAGATCACCCACCTTAAGCAGAACAGCTATTGCTGCACTCGGACCACACCTGGTGGGGGCACGATCTGAAACAGAGCTCAGGAAGGTCCCTTTTGAAGAAACTTCTCTGACAAAAGTTGCCTTTGATTTTATAGGATGAGTTTTAGAAAATGAAAAGTCAGAACCTTAGATGTCAGGATCTCTTTCAATACTCTCAGACTCTACAAATACATGTGGAATAACGTCAAGCATCTACGTATATGCCTATAAAAAACAGCTTGAAGTCTGCCATTTAAAATGGATATTTGAATTCCCTCACCAAATGGGTGGGAAGTATCAGAGACCTATAATCTTTCTAAAAATGTTTCATAAAGATTCAAAATCTTGTGATGTTTCCTGGTACCTTGCATTCGCACGGCAATGAGAAGGTGGAACTGAAACAAACAGTGACTTAATTTTCATTTTAGCTTTGCATTTCATTAAGCAGTACATGAAAGGCACAAAGGTAAACCAGTGGGAACTGAGGAATATAAGAGTCCAGGACAATACAGCTAATCAAGAGCAAATATTTGGAGAGAAAATTATAAAATTAAATTAAGAAGAAAACATAGATATGAAAGCCATTTAATTTGATGCATCCGATGTCACTGGTGCTACCCTTTGCCAGGCCTGGCTATGTGCAGCTTTATTGAAAACATTGGGTTGCTTTGTCTGGTCTGATCTGCAATATTAAAATCAGATAAATGTAACCTCAGACACTAGCTACATATCTATAGTACAAACTGCACTATTTTTATTCTTATGAAGTCTTCTTAAATATTTGTTTCAAGGAAGATTTTATTCTTATACTTTCCACTTAAAATACCTTTAATTAGACTTTTATACAGGTGAGAAGCCAGAGAATTGACTAAGCACATAAATGGGACACAGCTCAGCCTTTGAAAAAATCAACATCTATTTTATACAGGCTCAGCAGCCACAACGTATCTCCCTTTTGCTGAACAGCATCTCACCAATAGATCCACCAAAGTCCACAATATAAAATGATACCATTCAGCACAGGTAAAGGTCAGATTTTAGCTGGGTTACTTCTATCTCCATCACTTCCACAGGCACACAGCACTCATATCAACAGTTGTCCTAATCATAATAATAGTCCAACCCCTTGAGCTATAATCAGGAGAAATAAGGAAATTCAGACAGTGCCCTGGGATATTCCCAGCCAGAGCCCTCAGGATCACCCATCCCCCCCTTACTGCACAGCTCAAAATGGGAGAGACAGCCAAAACCACTACCAGTAGCTAAGCCATGAAGTTTAAAGAAGGAATTACAGAATTCAAGAGCAATTATTTGTCCCTTAACCCTTGTGACCCGTCTGGTGGCCTGAGTAAACGCTGCATGCCAGTTATCACCAGGATGTGCCAAAAACCTCTGCCTACTGTTGCATGCTTTCAGTCACCTGGAGTTCTGCAACGATCTCTAAACACCATAAATAGACATGTTAGAGCAAAAAACGAACAACAAAATAATGCCAAGAGGTCATTCTGTGGGTTGTTCTTCCTCTCAGCAAGCCACTTCATTTGAATAATGAAATAACAAAAACATGACAACCATTTAAAGCCCATACATCACAGCTGCAGCACAGTGCACCTGACAAATTCAGGCAGAGAGGTCGCCTTTCTGCAGCTTGCTGAGGTTTGAAATAAAATATTGCATAGCCTCTTCCTTCAAGTGGAAAGAAAAATATGAGGGGAAACTTTCTTCACTGTGAGGATGATGGAGTCTTGAACCAGGCTGCCTAGAGAGGTTGTGGAGTTTCCTCATCTGGAGATTCCAACCCCGCCTGGATGCCAT